GGGCACCGGGGGGCTCTGCAGGCACCGGGGGGGCACTGGGCGTCCCGGGGGGCTCCAGGGGCACCGGGTACCCTGGAGGTCCCTGGAGGGGCTGCAGCTGCATGCACATATGCATGCATGCACGCAGCTCAGGGTGCAGCAATGCCACCCTTGACGCACGCTGACTCATGGGGGGTCCTGGGGGTCTCCAGGGGTCTCCATGGGCACTGTGGGCACCGTGGGCACCGGGGGTCTCCAGAGGAGCTGCAGCCGCATGCATGCACATATGCATGCATGCACGCACGCAGCTCAGGGCGCAGCAATGCCCCCCTTGACGCAGGCCAAGTCGGAGGGGGTCCGGGGGGCACTGCGGGCACCGGGGGTCCCTGGATGAGCTGCAGCCGCATGCATGCACATATGCACGCATGCACGCAGCTCAGGGCGCAGCAATGCCCCCCTTGACGCAGGCCGAGTTGCAGGGGGTCCGGGGGGCACTGCGGGCACCGGGCATCCCTGGAGGAGCTGCAGCCGCATGCATGCACATATGCACGCACGCACGCAGCTCAGGGTGCAGCAATGCCCCCCTTGACGCAGGGCGACTTGCAGCAGGTCCGGGGGGCACTGCGGGCACCAGGGCTCTCCAGAGGGGCTGCAGCCGCATGCATGCACATATGCACGCAGCTCAGGGTGCAGCAATGCCCCCCTTGACGCAGGGCGACTCGCAGAGGGTCCGGGGGGCACTGCGGGCACCAGGTACCCTGGAAGTCTCTGGAGGAGCTGCAGCTGCATGCATGCACGCACGCAGCTCAGGGCGCAGCAATGCCCCCCTTGACGCACGCCGACTTGCAGCAGGTCCGGGGGGCACTGCGGGCACCGGGTACCCTGGAGGAGCTGCAGCCGCATGCATGCACATATGCACGCAGCTCAGGGCGCAGCAATGCCCCCCTTGACGCAGGCCGAGTTGCAGCAGGTCCGGGGGGCACTGCGGGCACCAGGTACCCTGGAAGTCTCTGGATGAGCTGCAGCCGCATGCATGCATGCACGCACGCAGCTCAGGGTGCAGCAATGCCGCCCTTGACGCACGCCGACTCGCAGTGCTTGTTGAGATAGGACTTGAGCGCGAAGCTCTTGCTGCAGCGCGGGCAGCGGAACAGCTTGAAGGCCGAGTGCGTCTGCATGTGCGCGCGCAGGTTGGAGCGGTCGGCGAACGCCTTGCCGCAGTGCGCGCAGCCGAAGGGCTTCTCGCCCGTGTGCGAGCGCATGTGGCCCTGCAGCAGCCAGGGCCGGCTGAAGGCCTTGCCGCACACGCCGCACTTGTGCTTGAGGTCGTGCGTGAGGAGGTGCATGGCCATGGCGGGCATGGACACGTACACCTTGCCGCACGTCGGGCACCGCTTGGCCAGCT